TCTATGGCAGTATATAGTACGGTATATGCTCGTGTGATGTAAGAGAATAAGGTTTAGATGGAAGCATATTATAGAATTTTTACGAGGTAAAATTGTAATGTATTACTTGCTGTTAGTAACTCAGCTTATTATAGAGTATAGTAAGTATACTGATGGTGCGATGCAGTTTATACTTTAGTTTTTATGTAGTTTATACTTTAGTTTTCTACGTGGTTGTTGAGTAACTGCAGCTACATATCATTAACATTCCTTTCCTTTGTTACTGCTAATCCCTGCACCCCCCTTGGTTGCTGCTGATCCTGCATAATGCATGGGCATAATATGACTTTGACACCCCCCCGCCCAACGCCTACGCATTTTCCATGAATATGCTAAATCCCTCTTCACATGCACATTCTTTTTGTTAAGGCGCTCTTCAACCCCCAATGCAGCTTATATATAAGCTCCTAGTTTGGTAGTGTCTCATTCTTCACCTGAAGACGGCTGCTTGCGTTGTAGCCGAAACGTCGTGAGAATTGTTTTATTATGTTTTATTTTTATTATTTTATTACTTCCCTTCTACGTGACTTTACCGAAAGAAACAAGAAGGGGTCATCCAAATAAATGAGGCACGACTCCCATTGCAATCCAGCCAAAACCAATTCCATCAAACGCTGGAAAGTTGCCGGCGCTGAGTGTAAGCCCATCGGCAACCGGTTGAATTGGAACAGGCCGTGCGGTGTACGGAAAGCAGTTTTAGGCTTTGAATCATCGTCCAGAGGAAGCTGCCAGAATCCCGAAAGTAAATCGAGTGTGGAAAAGAATCGCGCTCCCGCCAAGGCGTCCAGCGATTCATCCATCCGAGGGAGCGGGTATGCGTCGGCAACCGAAATTTTGTTAAGGCGCCGAAAATCAACGCAAAACCGCAACGATCCGTCCTGCTTTTTAACCAGGACGATCGGCGCTCCCCAAGGGCTGGTGGAAGGAGAAATGATGTCGGCGGCCAACATGTCATCAATAGCCGATTTGACATGGTCCTTTTCGGCGGGACTCAACCGAAACGGATTTTGGCGAATTGGCGCGCTGTCACCCGTGTCAATATGGTGACGCAGCAGGTGAGTGCAACCCAAATCGTATTTATTCCGACTAAAAACGTCGGAAAATTCCCGCAGTAGTGTTTTAAGTTGTTGACGCTCTGAATCTGACAGGTCCGTCGATCCCGCACAAAGCGCCTCGAGCCACCCTTCATCGCTGTCCGAATGCGGTCGCGGCGCAGGGACAACGCTGACGTGATTTGCGACGGTTTCCTCACATGGCACCGGCGTTGCGTGAGCAAGCACGGTTCCCTGTGGGACCACCACCGTCTGCGAGCCCACATTGAGGATCGCGATGAAGGGTTCACCGTCCCCTCTTACTATGGTCTGGGCCGGAAGTAAATGAGGTCCACTAACCCCGGCCCTAGACGGCCCCAGCAGAACCCCTTGGGCCGCAATACCCTTAGCGAAGGGTCGCCGAAGTTTCAAGGGAATCAACATTTGTGCCCCCGGAGGGACGCGCACCGTTCTCTCTACGAATGCCGGCACCGTCGCGAACGCCGTCCGAGTCGTAACGGGTGATGGCAAAAACGCCATGCGTCTGCCCGACGGGAGCTCAATGCATCCCTGGTCGATTAATATCCTAATCGGCATTTTGGCCAGGAAGTCCGTCCCCAGCAGGCACGGAACCGCCAGCGAGGAGGAAACAAAAATCGGCCCAGACAATTTAATTTCCCCAACACAAATTTGGGCCCGAATTTGTCCGATGATGCCAAGTGAGCCCCCGTTAGCCGCATAGAATGGTACGTTAACAGGCATCAAAGGACGGCTCTGGACAGGGAGAATATTGTATATTAACTCCGAAATAATGGTCGCCGATGCTCCCGTATCGACCAGGATGCGCACTTCAACCCCGTCGATGTGCCCCACAACGGCCGACGACCCCGACGATGCGGCTACCACACGATCGGCCAGCACGGACCACTGGCCGGGTTCGATATGAGTACCCAGAGTGGTGCGTGATGGTGCGATGGTGCGCGATATCGGCCCCCCTCTCGTTGCAGTGTTTGAGTGCGTGACGGGCGTGTGCGTGGGCCAAACATGTGGGGTGCCGCGACTCGCCGGGTTATGATGGTGGAGCTTGTGATGAGGCCCGTCGTCCCGTTGAGGTGTCGTCCCGCGCTGACGAGGAGAGCGGCACCCCGAGGCGACGTGGCCCCGGACGCCGCAGTTAAAACACCGCGGGAGCGCCGTCGGAGGTGACGGATGGTCGGAACGGCCCGACCCGTCCCGGCCCGACCGTGCTCCCATCGCCTGTTGCCGTCGGTGGTCGACGGCGTAGAGCTCCTCCGTCGGAAGGGTGGCTGCAGCCACCGCACGCCCCGCCGATGCCCTGCTGGCTTTCCGCCGGAGCGACAGGAGGTTTGCGTGGAGGAGCCGCGCCGCCTGGAGCGATGTCATTTCCGCGTCCTCCTGCGCGACGACAGCGATGTCAAGGTCGTCTGCCAGGAGGAGGATTTTCTCCGTGACCATAGCGTCCACGCCGTCGTCGTCCATACGCGGGAAGGCCGACTTAGCCATCGCCAGGAGGCTCGTCCGGTATGCTAGGGGCGACTCCTTCTCACCCCGCTTGCGGTCGTAAAATTGCTGTCGGCATTCGGCTGATGGTCCATAGACCCCGCCCAGCAGCTGTAGCGCCATCGGTAACGTAGACCGCTTCTCTCTCGGCGCCGATGTGAGTGCGGCGAGCGCGTCGCCGTCGAGGAGCGCCGGCAGCGCGCAGAGAGCCTCCTCATCGGACCATTTCGCCATCTCCTGATGGGCGAGGAAACGTCGGCGAAACCCGGCCCAGTCTCCCTCCGCGCCGATGAACTCCTTCAGCGGGGGCAGTCTCTGATGAAGCGCAGCGGTTGTTGTAGACTCCCGCAGGCAGATGTCACCACCACTCGGCTGTGCGTTGGTGCGAACGGCCGATGGGATCGCCTGTCGCGGTTGTGATGACGCACCCTCCGGCGGTGATGACGCTGCAGCTCCAGCGACGGCGATGTCGGAGCGGATGTTCAGGCTGGCCACGCCCTGAACAGCTGTAGCGTCGATGGCGGGAATTTCAAATTCGGACTGCTCCGAAATGGCGGGAAGGCGCCCTGGTCGTTGGCTCGCCTCGCCCCGTGTTGAATCACCGGCCCCCAATCGCGTGATGGTCTCCAACGTGGCGGCAGCGGCATACAGCAGCTCCGCCAGCCTCCCGTGAGCCAGCCGTAACGCGTCTGGCTGCGGCCCCTCTTCATTCCGATGCCCCGGTAAGGAGGCGTCAGGCCCCGGCTGCACCATGTCTTGTGGAGCCGTCTCGGGCTCGACGATCTCGGCAGTGTCTTCCTCCTGCGGTACTTTGGCCCGCGCTGTTTTCCGCGTGTCCATGTTAGAATTACTTCTGACACCAGTTGAAGTACCGGTGAAGACGCTTGACGCCGAGGTTGAGGCACACGTATATTTATTTCACAGTATGACAGTGGGCATATACACTCTCGAGGGGGTATCGGCCCCCTCACCCGTATAACTCGGGATACACCCCTAGCTAACTCTGTCCTAGCCCCGAATCCTCCACTAATGGGTTAGGGGAGGCTAACTGGCCCGACACTGGTAAGTCGGGCCCGGTACCCGGAGTCCCAGACCAGCTCTTACAAGAGCACCGGCTCTGGCTTTCGGGACCACGCCGCTGGCTCAGTCCTGTCCGGCCCTGAAAAGGACATCGAACTAGGGGAGTCCAGGGCTCTATCTAAGACGTCTTCAGTCTTCTTCCCTTAGCTTAAACATAACTGACTCGAGCCCTTTGAACATCCCCTTTTATACCCAACCCCTCCCTGAGGGGTGGGGCCCCGGGGGATCATAACGTTCGAACCAGCCCCCCCCAGGGTGTCTGGCTCGGACGTCGTAGAGGGCACCTCCTCGTGCACTTACGTAGCCCCGCCCACTGTGTTTGTTTTCCATAGGCTGCCATGCATAACGGGCCCTCTCTTTAATACCCCTACACGTGGAACACACCATTACCCTCACTCTCCACTGCAGAGCTGCTATCAGGGCTCCATTTTCTCATTGTGGCCTACGGTCACCTCACTTCCTGCACAGTGTGAGGGCTATCATTATTGCTAATTAAATGTTGCTGAAGATGATGTAAAACTTTACAGCAGCCATGCATATGCATACTTTTTCTTCCTTTTGTACTTTAATACAGCGAGTGCAGCATTCACTGTGGACCCACCTACTCACTTTATATTTACTCACCCACTCGCAATAATTCACTCATTCCCCAACCCACTCACACACCACTGACCCACCAACTCTCTCACACCCTCACTTAACTCCACATACTCACTCATCGATTCACCCACCAACAACTCAAGCAGGCACGCACTCACTCACCAAATATTATCACTCAGTGGATGAGTGGGCATGGGTATAGGGGGAGAAAAGTGAAGGGATAGGCAAGGGTGGGGGAGGGGTTATGGGAAAAGTGAAGGCAGGAGCAGATTGGGGGGTTAATGGGAGGTATAAGGGGAGGGGTAAGTGTGGAGTGCCGGGAGAGGAGTGAAGTGAGGAGTGGGGACAATGATGGCAGTGGTAAGGGGAAGAATGTTGTCAAAATTGTATTAATGCGTGGGCTACGCAAGACCGAGTGTTTTTACGTGAGTATGGGGTTACATTGTACTGTGTGTACACAGTTACTAAGTGAGGATTCTTATAGGCAAAGATCTGCCGCACATAGTCTTAACAGACTGCTGGGTAAAGTGCTGTTAGGGAGCACCTATTACGGCCGACATGGCGTATGATGGGGTGGGTGGCCAGCATCACGCCCGGCCGCCTTTGTCTCCCGAGTAGAGATGTTTTACACACTGTACCTGGTACTCATTTGAAGATGAGTTGATATCACACACACACATATGCACGCACAATTTGTGAAGTAGTGAATGCGAGGTGTGCTAGTCTTACATTAGCTCTTTACATCTGTGCAGTCCAGGCTGAAGCCTCTTCATTTCCTCAGTGCCGATGCCACAGTCCAATAGGTTGAGTGTCTCCACAGGTTCTTCTCGATACAGCAGGATCCAGGAGACGGCAGCGCAGTCTGGCAGGGACAACCTTGTCTTCGATAGGTCTACCCTAGTCATGGACCGAGTGGCATCACTCAGGGACTTGCGGTCATTCAGCTCGTGCACACAGTGCAGGAGACTGATAAGCCTGTGTTTGTCATCCTTCTGAGTCTCCATGCTGCGATTGAGCCACTCGATTATTTCCTTTTGAGAATCCGCAGATGGAGGATCCAAGATACCCTCAAATAACTTCCACGGAGTGCTTGATGCTAGTCCGCAAAAAAACCTCTGAAACACATCAAACCTCCCATCTTTGCTGTCCTCAATAGCTTTGATGACGTCACTCACTGGCCGTGTTGAATGTGACAGATGCACGGCTATTGCTGCAAAGAATTCCTGCATTGTCAAGTGTGAAAATGAATAACAACTCCCTTGTTTAATGCCCTCACATGTGAACACTTTGTTGATGAATGTACTTCCTAGTTCATAAGAACTAACAACACACTCTTCTAGATCTTTTTGGCTGAACATCTGGATGTTCTGCTGAACCCCCTTTAGAGCCATATTGGCAAGAGACGATACGATTTTCTTGGCTCCGCGGCTGCCACGTCCATGGTGTTCTATGAGCCCAAACACGTATTGTGTGAAGAGGTCGGTCATTGATTTGAGGATAATCTCAGAATGAGCAGACTTCTGTAAATGTTCCTTCAGTGTAATGGCTGCTATATGGCAGAATGAAGGGTTCTGGGACAATGTATTCACGGTTTCATTTTCCTGCAGGAGCTTGAGTGCCCTTTCTGCTAGACTCCTATCTTGGTAAAATTTGTTAAAGAATGCTATTTTATCTTCGTTGGAAAATCCAGTGATTTCAACAGCTCGATCAACATTCACTCCACTCAGCTGCTCCATGGCAATGGGTCTGGTCGTTATCAAGACCGAGGCCTTGGGCAAGAGATTTCCATTCACCAGGGCAGCAATGATGGCTTCTACTGTTGCCGTCTTACGTGGATCAGTACAAGCACTGCCATAGTGAAGGCACTTTCCAAACTCGTCCAACCCATCCATAACAAAAAGGGTTCTCTTTTGGTTTGTGAAAACCTCATCCGCTTTGTTTCCCAAACCTGAGTGCAGCACAGAAAACAGCTCTGCGAGGGACACCTCTCCAACATCATTTATCTCCCTGAACGTTATGAGCACAATGTGCTCAAAGCGTCGTGCAAACACTCTCTCACCTGACAGCAGGCTGTGCACAATTAATTTGCTCAACATGGTTTTACCGCTGCCTGGAGTCCCCACTACAATAACCATTCGGGGGTGTGTTTTGTTTCCAATGGAACCAATGGGATCAAAGAGCTTCTTGTAAGTCATCCCTTCTCTCTGTGCTCTCTTCATCAGCTCCTCGTGCTGCTTGCCTCTAGCTAGTAACTCGTGCTCCTTGGTTTCTTGATGGCGGTAGTAGAGAACCAGAATTGGCTTCACCATCCTCTCCAGCAAAAACACTGCAGGTTCTCCAGGTCGTGCGTCGTAGTCTCGTGTTAATGATGTCAACTTCAGCAAGAATTCTCTGTAATCATCACCAGGGTTATCTAAATAAACCCGAAATCATTTTACAAACAAATTAGTTTCATTTATACAAAAAAATCATTCCTATAGCAGAAAAATGTTTAAAATAAACTATAATAAAAAAAAGCGTAGCGAATTCGTTCACTATGGATAATGCAGCAACATCATGTAAATCACGAATTATTGCATGGAAGATTTCACGATGTGTATTCTACATATGCAATTTTTATAAACACTGTACCTTTGTAAAATTTATTTTGTATCATATCAAAAATGTTCCAACCACTTGTCTTGTTTGTTTTGCCTGTGAAAAAGATAGAACCACCACATTTAACATTACCACGTATATCAGCATTATCAAAACTAATTCCATCAATTTGGGCGTAAAATTCAATGCTGTCTTGTCCTAGAATTATTGATTTTTGTTGTTTAGGATGTTGAATTTAACTTTTTATATTTCACTGGTATTGGGGCTGTGTTTTCTCTCCCATCTCAAGCTGGCCTACATCACGTAGCACGGGGGCTACACTGTGGTGGAGTGCAGTACACCAGGCAAGGTCCTGTGACTGAAGATCCAGTGATTGCACACTGGCGGAGTCAGTGGGGGGGAGGGGGGGTGGCACGTGCCTCCCCAATGATCCGATCGAAATCCTTAATTTCGATTGATAAATCGGTATTTTGCGACCCCCACTGCCACCTGTGTAGCATATTATTACGTGCCAGAGACTAATTGAGATGATAGGACAACGACAAAGCGGTTATAAGTGACTCACATAATTGTGCGCAGTTGCGTATACAGTACACGTCTTCCCTGAAGGCTTACCTTCAGCGAGCGCAATGCCGATCACACACGGTGCGAATTCGACCCTCGATCCTTGGCTGCGCCATCGCCGCACACGCGTTGAATAAGGGACAAAACTGTGGTGCCACAACGACGGGGCCGCTCTGCCGAACCAGGGAGCCGCCCGGCTTCCCCCACCGCACTGCCCCCCATCACCCGCCCCACATAAGCACACACCCGCACGCATTCCCCCCCCCCATAGAGCTGGAAGGGAAGGTCACCTGATCGACCGGTTTTTATCCGAGAGACCCTTATCGGGATTAATTCTCACGGTTTCCGGCGATCAGGGAATTGGATGACCTCCCCGTGCTACGTGGCACCGCGGCGCTGCGGCCGGCCTTAATATGGTAGGTCGTGGCGTGGGGCATTCGGCCACCGCGGTTGAGGCGCATTTCCCCCCACACACACTCCCACGGGTCGACGGGGCGAGCAGGGGAGGCACGGGACAGCATGAATAGCGGGGTCACAGGGGCTGTTGCGCATAGTCATGGAGGGTTGGGATAATTGCGCTTGAGCGCGCAAGCCCCATTGGTAGGAAGGGTAAGGGAGTAATTAGGATTTACGCCTTGCACGCAGCACACTGATTAGCATATCAACAGCGCCTGGGGACTGCCGTGCGCGGGCTTGGGGTGCACGAGCCCATTGTTCAGCGCAGCATCCCCTTTGGGAGGTAGGGAGGATAAATAGAGGAGCGCAGAGGGGAAATCGCTCTCTTACTCCAGCGCCAGGCGACCAGACGCAGCTCGAGCCAGCGACCCGGACGTCCGTGCGACGCACCGAGGCACGCGGTTAACACAAGGATCAGCGGACCGCCGTGGACACTTAACAGTGAGTAAGAAGGGGAATTAGAATCATAGCCGATAAATAGGGAATAGGTGCCGGTTTAGTGGAATAGGCCAGCCTCGTCGACTCACTAATTCAACATTAGTTATCAGGTAATAAATCATTAATAGCGAAGCGTGGTCTCGCGTGATCTTGTCGTGCAGTGTGAGCGTGTGGGAACGCGTGTGGTACTGTGTGTGCGTAAGCTCGCAGCGTGCGTAATCGGCGTCCCCCAGGTGCGCGATCATAGCGTAATCGGCTGCGCATTGTTGTACGGTTTATCTCGCGCGCACGGCGGCGGCGACTTTAGTCGTTGTGTCGGCGTGTGCCCCGCTTGCGTGTGCTCGTTACGTGTTATAAGTGTGAACGCGTGTAGTACGGTGTAGGCGTAAGCTCTCGTCGTGCGAAATCGGCGTACCCCAGGTGCGCGATTGTAACGTGAGCGGCCAGCGCGGCGCAGAGAAGCGCAAGAGTGAGTGCCGTACGGAGCTGTGTGTGTGGGTGTGCGCGTACGTAATTAACCATGCCTGCTACGCGGACCCGCGGTGGAGTGGAATCCTCGGGCGACGGCTCCCACCCCATGGGTGAGGAACTTAGCAGCGGTTCGCTTAGCAGCGGGGGGGCGATTGATGATGCTAGCCCGGCCGTTAACATTATCGAGGGAGGGATCTCGGGGGCTAGCGACCCCCACAAATTGGTGTCAGAAGCGGTACGGACCCCCGCGTTACCTCACGCTAAAATAAGACTAATATTTACCGGCCGGGGGGCCCCTTCGTGGAAGGCATTCGCCCGCAATCTCTTAGGGGCCAAGGAAATTAATGGATGGACGGACGCGCAGGCAGTACGTCAACTTAATATGAATCTTGATGGGCGGGCAGCCGATTTTGTAGAAGCGTTACCCGCGAGCGCACAGACACAGCTAGAGGAGCTGATGCGCCGACTCGATCAGCGTTTTGGCACGCGTGACGAGGAGGAAGCAAAATCGGCCTTAGAGGCGCGCCGGCGCCAACCTGGCGAAGATCTACGTGATTACGCCGAGGATGTGCGTGAGTTAACAAAGATCGCACGCCCGGGGTACGCAACTGATGTTATTGAGGAACTGGCCGCCGAGAAAATCCAGCGGTACCTGTCTCGCACGGCGTGGTGGCAGCCAGACATGAGCTGCCCACGTCTTCCGTTTAACACCCTTGTCGAGCGCGCACGTAAGTGTGAAAGAATTCACAGCGAACGCGCGCAGCTCCGGGGGCTGGGACGAGAGCGCGCCATTGCGAGCCTGCTCTCGGAAGACGAGGAGGAGGGACAGGAGCTCGCGAGGACGGTAAGGGGCCGGGAAAGAGAGCCACAGAGACCCAGCGAGACGACCCCGGGGTGGGTAGCCGGGTTACAGGCCGGCATGGGAGATATGATAACCCAAGTAGGTGAGAGGGTAACTCACGTAGGTGAAAGGGTAACCCAGGTACGCGAGGAAGCAAATAAAAATATGACCAAACTGCAATCCTCCGTTGAGACCATCCGATCCGAAATGGGGGACCTACGCGCCACGGTGGGAGGGTTATCTGGGAGGGTAGCCCGACTAGAGGCGGAGGGTGGACAGCGGCGTAATGGGGGGGGAGGGAGCGGACAGGGGACCCGCTACGGAACCGCCCCCCCTCCCCGGGCATGTTATATGTGCGATCGCCGAGGGCATCTAGTGAGGGACTGTCCTGAAATCACCCGAGCGAGACAGACGCGGGGGTTAAAACTCCAACGCCCCCTAGAGAGCGGACCAACTAGGGGTGCAATCGACGCGGTCCCGATACAAATGGACGATAATGAGAATAATGGCGAGCGAGTGATCTCCACACAGGTTCCAGCAACAACGCCCACAGAAACGGTGACTCCTGGCGACTGGCTGCGGGAGCTGGTGGCGGGGATCACGGGGGCCACGTCGCTGGTGGAAGGGGAGGTTAACGGAGTGCGTACCCGAATCCTGCTGGACACGGGGGCGGTGGCCTCGCTCGTGAGCGCAGCGCACTGCAGCGCGATCGGGGTCGACGTGCGTCACCTGCAGGCACCGGACCGCGCGCTGCACACGGCGAGCGGAGCCGGAATGGGGCTGCTGGGGAGAGCCACCCTAGAGGTCCGCATAGGCAGTCAGGTGTGCACCCAGGAGTTCTACGTGTCGAGTGCGTTGTGTCACGAGTGTATCGCAGGTACCGACCTCTTAGAACGGCTGGGACTCAACGTGCAACCCCGCCAGCGATGCGCCACCATGGAGAGCAACGGCGAGCGGATACCGTTCCTGGGACGAGAACCGACGCGCCGCCGCTTTGCACCTGTGGCCGCTATCCTGACGACGGCAGTCACCATCGGCCCGCTCACCGAGGTGCTGGTGCCGGTGGCAACATCCCCCACCGACCCCGCGCTCCGACCATCAGGGGAGGTAATGCTAACTCCTCACCCGGAGTTGGCAAAACGGTATGGGGTTGTGGGATCCGCCACGTTGGTAAACGCAGATGGGGACCGATTGTTTATGCGGATGTTTAACCCCCACAATACCCCCGCGATACTGCGACGGCGCACCCCGATAGCCACAGTACACCCCCTGCACGCACGCCACTCTAACGACTCGGTGTTCGCACTCTGGGCTGAGGACCCCGGTCGTCCTGAGGGTGAGCAGGACCTGGCCTGGCGAGTCGGCCCGACTCCCCGAGCCGAGGTCGTTCCCCTGCTCGACGCGTTACATGTACCATGGGCGGACTTACCTAAGGGAGAGGCCGATCGGCTGCGCGAGTTACTGCGGGAGTATGCCGACGTGTTCAGCGAACACGACTCGGACGTGGGTCGGACCGACCTTGTTAAGCATCAAATTGACACCGGTGCAGCCCGACCCATCAAACTCCCTGCGTACCGAGTGGGCGCACCCGAACGCGTCCAAATCAAAGAGGCAGTTGGGGACATGCTTCGCGATAACATAATTCAGCCCTCGGCGAGCCCCTGGTCAGCCCCGGTGGTACTAGTAACGAAAAAGGATGGGTCAACCCGATTCTGCGTCGATTACCGTAAACTAAACGCAGTCACGCTCGGCGATGCCTTCCCCATACCTCGCATCGACGACACCTTCGACAGTCTCGCAGGAGCGCGGTATTTTTCCACCCTCGATCTGGCGTCCGGTTACTGGCAGGTGGAGATGACGGAGGAGGATCGGCCAAAAACAGCATTCACCACCCCGATGGGCCTGTTTGAGTTTCGAGTGTTGCCGTTCGGACTCACTAACGCGCCCGCGACGTTCCAGCGGTTGATGGAGTTGGTGATGCGGGGCTTGCAGTGGGAACAGTGCCTGATTTACTTGGACGATGTGATAGTGTTCAGTAGATCTTTGTCTGAGCATTGGTCCAGGCTTCGAGAGGTGTTCCAGCGGCTGCGAGCGGCTCATCTCAAGCTCAAGCCACGTAAGTGTTACATCGCACAACGCGAGGTGGGGTACCTCGGGCATCGCGTCAGCGAGGCAGGCGTGCGCACCGATCCGGAGAAGGTACGCGCCGTAGTGGAGTGGCCACGGCCAAGGAATCTGACGGAGATCAGATCATTTTTGGGGCTCGCCACCTATTATCGTCGATTTGTAAAGGGATTCAGCGAGATTGCACGCCCCCTCACCCAAC